GCGCTTGCAAGATACATCCGGTGTTGAGATAATTAAAATCAAAATTAAACTTGTGCTATATTTGCATCTGCAAAGCATAAGTTAATCAAACATAATGAGTTAATCAGACTCATTTTTCTGAGAGCAAAATGTAACCATGCTTCATCATCTTTTGTGTTGTCCTTAGACTCTGACAGACAGAAACTCTTCCTAAGTATTTGCACACCCGATAGCACATCAGCCCTGGAAGTTTTCTAGGCATTGTTACAACATTAATAGGAAATAGTTGCAGTAAAGCCGCTTTATAGGAGCTTTTGCTCTATATTAAGAAGTCAAATAATAATAACAAATTGAAGGGGACATGAAGCATGACCCAGGAAGGAGATAATACTCTGCATCCCATTTTTGCAATCAAGAGACAAGCCATTCAGCTATTTAGCAAGACTGCTGCCAGTAAACCAGTATGTCTCCCAGATTCCTAACAGCAAACAGCAAGAGCAAAGAACACATTCTCTGGTGACCTCTGCAGATTTAGCAATTCAGTATTATTTTTTTTACCTTAAAAAAAAAAAAAAAAGGGCAAGCCATTGCTGGATGTAATTTCTAAGTATTGTAATTAATTTATTTTTAATCCCATGAAGAAATAGTTTATACTGTCTTGGTTGAGAGCTATTCAAGATATTGTGGTTACATTTTTGGTGTCTTTGGTACATTTTATTGTAACATTCTCAGGGCGCTGCAGTCAATTACTACATCTCATGCTGTTTTACTTGCTACAAAGCATCATCCAAGCATTTTCTAGCAAGTCCTTGTGGGTAACTCTGTCCTGTTCAAGAAACACATGTATGTCCATGCGCAGATAGGTATGAGATCAGTGTCAACTTAGCCATTTGCATTAATGACATTTTGGTTTGGCTTCTGTGGTCTCAAGCCTCTTAGCTCAAGCTGTGACAGAGTTTAAAAAAAAAAAAATTAAAATTAAACTGAGTACATTTGGAATACAAAGGCGTAGCTGGTATCTGTCAATCGTGCCTCTGCAGTGTTAAAACTTTTCCCAGCTTTTCACTCCTCTCTCCTTTTTCCAGACTGCATTATCTCTTATGCAGCCCCACAGTTGTGCCAGTCCCCTCTTGGCTGTCCCAGTTCTTTCCTTCGTTGCTGCTGCTCCCATCATGTGCGTGGGGGAAGTGGGAGGGACGGTCCCAGTGGGAAGCACAAACCCAACCAGCTACACAGCAGCAAAGGGAAAGACAGACACAACTTGCTGGGGAAAGAGCTGAAGCAATGGCTTGTGGCCAGGATTTGAAAAGGGCAGAAGATAATAGCACCCACAGATTAAAGAAGGAAAATGGCTGGAAATAAAGTTTGGTAGGTCTCAGCCTACCAGATCATTAAAGAGGGGACTATAACCCAGAGGCAAGAAGTAAAAAAAAAAAAAAAAGATAGTAAATTAAAGAGGCTACACTACCATCATCCATGAACCTATGGAACAGCTATGCCTTTCAATCACAGCTATGATACATGAGATTTTCCCTTTCAAGTTGCATCCCTATAATTGAGCAAGAGCCATCACACAGGAGAGCTTGCCCTAACACAGCGGAAGCTGTATCTAACATGCAGAAAACTTAATCTACGTCATTGCTAATCTGGCCTTTTTAATTTAGGACTCTATTCACTGTATTGCATTTATTTAGATAAATTATATGTCCAGAACAATTTCCTAGAGAGGCTACTGTTCCTAGAAGTCATTTTTCTAAATCAAGTTTTGAAACGAAATTGATAGCAGACAGTATGTAGTACTGACCCTCAAAAAAGTAATGTAGTCTAACATGTACTGTACGTTCCTATTTCTGAGCATATTTTTCCCTTGTGCAAACGCTGTAAATATTTTCCGATTCTCTGTGAAATTGGAAAAAACATTAACAGTTTGCAGAAAGGGGAAAACAGGAGTGATAATGAAGAACAGTGAAGACAGTGAAATCTCACCGATTTAGCACGTCAGTGCTTCTCATTCTCTGCTGATCCAAGGCAGTAAAGGGAATAAGAACACAAAATAAATAATATTCCTCAGAAAGACATAAAAATATAAGTCTTACTAAAATCCACATTTGCCCCACCAGTCCCTCCAGCAAGCTGGGTCAGCTTGCTTTGCTCATGCGAGTATTCTCATTAATTTGAACTGGAACTTTGCCTGACAAAGGAGCACTGGATCTTCCCTTTCTGGGCAGAAGCACTAACTACCAGCTGAAGTACATCAACACTCCCGATAAGCCATGAACTATTGTATCCGTTGATTTACTGCTGATTAAAGACTCCCAAGTTGCTCCTAGTCGTGAGAATTAACATAATTGAAAATGTTACATTAACATATTAAAGAAACGTTCTGAAAGTACATTAGTATACCAAGCTGAATAAGTAAATAGGTTGCTGGCTGATGGTTCTTTTGTCAGTTTTGGTAAGAGTCCTCTGATTTCCACTATGTGTATCTGCAGAGAGTTGAATACACAGGCCAGAGCTGTCACAACTGCAACAGCAAAATTCTATTAGTTTTCCTTTAAGCTGTATATCATTGGTCCTTACTAAAACTATTTCCTAGTTGTAAACAGGACACTCAACTCACCATTTAATGTTACCAAGATATAAAAGGTACCCCTACTTACATATTATAAATTCCACTAATGCAACAGATTGTTTTAGAAATAAAAGCATAGGCCCGTTCTTCTAGTAAATGGCACGCAAAACTTCAGCACAAAGTCCCGTAATCCAAACAAATCAAGTACTAACCTGCTGAGGAGTACTTTAAAAAAAATTTTGAAAATGTCACGTCTTAATTGGTGGAGATGTGTGACACCACTGCTAGAAAACGCAGCAGCTTACCAAACCTGCAACTGGCATTATTGCCAAAGATGAAGCATTATCACAAAAGTAACTTTTTTTTTCCCCCTTTCTTCTTTTTACTGCAATTCTGTGTTAATTGTGTTGCTTCCTGCAGATGGCCCAAAGTAACATGTAAGATTATTGGTAGCAAATCTGAGTCGTTTTCATGGACTAGACATCTGCGTGACATGGCGCAGGAGCCGGGGACAGAGTACCAGCGAGAGAGGGTGAAATCAGCAGCGACAGCCCTTGACGGGAGGTCACGCTTTGCTCCTGGGAGCCAAAGTCACTGTCTCTCCAGGGGTCTTTGCTTGTGCTACAAACAGGACATCTTAACGTGCGTGCCACCTCTTCTATCATTACAGATACTTGCAGTGTCGTCTGTGACTTGAAGTGCACCTTGCCAGTTCATGCCAGTAACTAGAAGTCCCCAGCAAACAAACCAGGTTGGCAAATAAGGGGCAAATCTTGCAAATGCAACCGGGGGGCAGTTCGACTTGTTTTCCAGGAACTGGGTGAATTATAATCAATCATTCTCAACATTGTGCTGACTACACATTGAAGTGCTAAGGATGTTGTACATAGGGAAAGGTGTCAAGACTTCCCCAAAAGGGAAAAATTACATATCGTGTTTGGGGCTGTACAGCGCAACCCCGCAAGTACTCTCACTGAAACTCATGAGACTGAGATAACACGCAGTGGGAAAATAGGTCCTACATATTGACTTTTTGTGAATACACAGAAAACAAAAGAAAACCCAAGAAAGTGTATCATGCTCCTGTATCTCCTCCAGGTGATTTAACATAGTAATTATTACAATGTGCACAAGGAAAGAGCACAGTGCTTTAGTAATATAAAACTTCAGCACAGCATCTGTTACTAAACTTCACTCAGAGGTAAGGAGAGGGACCTTGGGAAAGCTTGAAGGTGTTTAAAAACCATTTTCTCACATGCAAAAACCAAAACTACCACTACTGTTATGCCTGCACACAAAACCAAATGATAACATTCAATTATTAGGAAGCTGATGTGAAACACTTCAGCAAGTTCAGCAGACTGCTTGAATTTGCATCTTCTCTGCTGCTCTAAGGAAAATGTAGGCAAGATACAGACCCTTCAAGCATTCAGTATTTTGCCTTTTTAGTGCTGAATGTTGGCAGCTCCCTTGCTGCTACACTGTTTGTGGCTTATGAAAAGCAGCCGTATTTGGAGGTACTAACAGTACCCAATAGCGTAAAATCTATATTTTCTGAAGAAGTCTACCTCCTTCAACACCCCAATGCGCAACATTCATACCATCCAAGTTGAGACTTGATAGAGCAGTAGAGAACTGATGGCTTAAAATGTTGCTTTATAGTTTACAACAAAGACAGTTGAGTGAGGGTAATTTGCTATCAGACTTCCAAGTTTCCAAGCAGGGCAGAGAGGAAAGATGACTGCATAAGCAAGTCGGGGTCTTTTTTTCATAAGTTTCTATAACCTTTTCTTTCTTCCTTACACTCAAACTTCATATTCAGGGCTGTTACTCCCCGCTTATCTCAAATGGACATAACCAAAGAAAACTTCCACAACCACTGGAGTGTATCTGGACAAGAAACCTAGAATTTGTTTTCTGCCATATTAAGCAAACAAATGTGCCCTAAACGATACCGCTGGAACAGCATGCTTTTTTATTCTCACGACGGAGAAAGGTATCAGAGATCAACTTGCTAGGTAGGATTTTTAAAACCAAGGTTGTTTCACCACTGTAAACACAGTTTTTACTTCATGCTCGAATTTTCCTCACCTATTCAAATTCAATTCATTTAGTGTCTGAGAGTTAACAAGAAATTTCTTCCTTTCCTTCTAGCACCGCCTTGAAGGAATCAAACAAAGAAATGCTGAAGAAGATATTTTTTAGCTTACTCTTTCTTCTATCAGTTATTAATCCTACAGAGAAAAGTGAAAGGTTTAAAGCCTTCCAACTCCTACGTGCACAGTTCTTAACATCAATTATGACATGATGTTGTCTCAGACAACCCCATGAAGCAAATTAATTAATTTAACACAGTAAAGCTTTGGAAACAACGTGAGGGGAGGACTAGCAATTATTTGCATATAGCACGAAGACAGACAGACACTTGAGCAATGAAGCAATGTCCTACCTCGCCTTGCCGGTGATAGTGCTTGGGAGGTTTTCCCATCTGCTCTAGCATTTTGCCCTTCTTACTGCTAGCAAGCGTCAGTCCCTGGTGGATGACTGCAGATCTGTTGGTTGCCTGAGTTGGAGCCTCCCCCATCAGGGTGGACTTGATGGAGTTCACCTTGGAGCTGGAGCTGTCTAGCTGGGAGCTCTCCACCATCAGGACCGCGGCTAGTAAGAGGAGACAGCAGCAGCACTTATTCCACATGAGCACGATCATCTCCCCTCCCCCCAAAAAGGATTATCTTTTTTCCCTTTTTTTTTTTTTTTAGGCAAAGAAAAGAGAGGAAAAAAAAGTTTTTCAAAATATTTCCCAAAGTTGTTCACAAAGCAATGGATTTCAATGCCACGCACTCAAGGAACTGCTGTTCTGAGAGACACAGGAGAAAAATAATAATAAAACAGAATCCCCTAGGTAAAAAAACGTGTCAAGTCTATCGGCACTGAGCAACTATCAGGTCTGTGAAGCGATGGCTTTTTCCTCCAGGTCCTCGAGAAGTCCAGGCAATTCTTTAGTGACTGAGCGCAATAAGCTACGAGGCAACTGCACCCAGGGCAGCTCCCCACCAGTGCAGTCACCAGCACGTTTGCTTGAGCTTCAGAGGAAGACTGAGTGAGTGAGTGAGTTACTTCCCCCCACTCCTCCTCTCTTGCTGCACAAGCCAGCAGAGAGGAAACTCAAACCAGATCCAATCCAAGCAGCACCGGCAAAAGCTGGGCTTAGTTTTCTTTCACTCTCTCTCTCTCCCCCTCTCTTTACTTTTTATTCCCCTCCTCCTTTTTCTGTCTTTCGCCTCAGCCTTTGCAGCCAGCAGGAGTGAAAGCACCCGGTTTCTTCTTCTTCCTCCTTCTCCTCCAGCCCGGGCGGTGCGGGGCGGGGGGAGCCCCGGGGCTGTGTCCCCCGGCAGCGGGTGTCCCTCCCCTCCGCTCCCAGCCCAGCGCTGGGACGCGCCGCGCAGCGACTCTCGCCCCCTCCATCCCCCCACCCGCCTCCCACCTCCCCGGAGGCCGCCCTCTCCCCAGCCGGGCGGCTTTCCCCTCTCTCCGGCCGGGGTCTGCCCGGGTCGGGGGGTGGGGGACGCAGCACGGCCACGCACGGCTCCGGACACGCATGCCACGCTGTCGCCTGCACCTCGCTGCCACCCCGGTGTCCAGCCCAGAGGTGGAGGTCAAGTCTGGCCAAAGGGGACGGCCGCCGGCAGGCTTTGCCACACGGGTTCCCCAAAGCGTGCTGCCAAGCTGAAGTGTGCGTCGAGGTGCTCCTGCTCCCCAAAACGCGTGGAAGTGCAAAGCACGTTAGTCCTGCAGTGCTGTGAAAGCGCACGGCTGGCACGCAAACCCTGCCAAACCTCACGCCCGAGCCTGCAAAGTCCACTGCCCTGGTACAGAACATGTCCAGCTACTGATGCTGCACTGCTCCTAAATGTGACACTCCCCAGTGCCATTGTGCCACGAGGAGCCCGAGAGACTTATTTTGTCTTCATCTTCTCTATGTCCTTGCCACGAGCACACATCCACTTGCTGTGAAACACCCAGGTGCTACTAACTACACCCACACGCTCAGAGGCACTCACATCTCCCTGCCGCAGCACCAAAACACCGTGTTTCAGGAAAAGGAAGGTAAACGGGGACACCAAGCTCAAAATTAGGAGAACCGGGATAAACACAGCTCTTCTCTTTCCCCTGTTAACCTGCCAAAGATTTAGTGCAGAGATCACCATGGGGCGCGCTTGAGTACCACAGTGGAGCAGCTACAAGCCTTTCTCGTTCCCATAGACATGTGAAAGTGGGGTGGAAGGAACAAAAGAGGGTGAGAGGAGCAGCTGTCTCGCTGTCCCACGTGTGCATGTACGAACACTACCTTGGCTGGCAACAGTACGGAGTTTTCCCCTCTCCGGAGGCATCCCCTCCTCTTACATATCAATCCTTTCCAGTTACTCTCCCTCTTTACACAGCAGTTGGGTTGAAGGAGAAATGTGCACCTGAAATTTCATTTCTTCTAAATTAACAGCTGTGCAAAAGGAGGCTGCTAAGGCAAGAAATACCAGGGAGGAGTGGGGCACTCTTTTGGCCCTCAATGTTCCTGCTCACAGTGAGCAGAAGCCCTCCTGGGGCATCGGAGCTCTGGGCAGGTAGTACTCCATGAGCCATACCACCTTGGGTAAGTTTTTTTAAATACTGTCTATCTATTGACACATGACTGCTAGCAGTGTGTCCTAGTGTTAGGGCTTGTACTGTGTTAAAACAGAGCATCGTGTAAAGAGTAGATTAATTTAAATCTTTTTCCACAGCTCAAACCTTAGAATTGTCTGGGAGGATTTAATCCCACCTCACAGGGAAGGTTGATTTTTTTTTTTGAAGTAACAACTGAAATGATGTATCAACCCCCAAGACTGGATTTTAAACTGTTCTACAGAGCATGGTATTTGCTCTGACTCGGGCTTCATATAAGCTCACATTTACTGATTTTGGACTTGGAAGCAGTTTTATTAGCACTTGATTTTAGAAAATTGGGTTAAGAAAAAAAAAAAACCAACCAAAAAACCCCCAATGTTTGCCTTCTTCACAGCATTTCCTTGTTCCATCTTTATGCAGCCTTAAATAAATTCTTCATCCCTGACAGTTCCTGAAGGCGTTTGTAAGGAAATGTTTGTAAAAGACTGGAAACCAATATGCAATTTCACAAGAAACTGATAAAAGCCAGTCCTTTTTGACTGTTTCGGACATGCAGCCCCCTCCTGGTGTTTCACCCCTCCCAAACCCAAAAGCAAATGGCCATCGGGTCCACAGGAAAAGCTCTAACAAATAATTTCATAGAAAGTTGGCCGAGCACCATATAAATACTACACACACACACAAAATGGGTAAAATCACAGCCACGGAGAAACATGCAGTCTCCTCAGATGTACATATGCAGTGTGTGTAGACACGTGCATAGGCAGCCTCGCGCACAAACACAGGAGTGCTGACGTCCACTCACCCATTCACGCAGGATCAAGCTGAGATGGGGAAACGCAAACTGGTAACGGTTCCCTGATTTCTAATAACAAGTCAATCCTGCATTTCCTCTTCCTATTACCATGGACTGCCCCAGTCACATTTTGTTTTCTTGCTGGGGATAAATACACTGCAGAGAACACTTGAGTTACAATTCACATCTCTCTTCCTGCTGTTCTCCATGTATGCCACCATGGAGCCTTAGCTCTGATCTGTCCTGCTTCATGGACGGTACCAAATTTGTAAAAATATCGAGTTAGTAGGTTTTGCAAGATTACCACAAAAATTGCACAAGCAAAATGCCGTTTTTCTCACCCCTAAGACATTTGATAAAATTATAGGTGGGTCTGGACTATTGATCAAAACATATGGGAGGCTGTGTTAATTCACACTTCTCCAAAATGCTTTATATAATGCAGAATTTATGGTATATTTCACTGGGCTCTATATCTATTAACTAACTTGTTTGTTAGCTTTGGTGACAGCAATAGCAGCCCCCTTCAAATTATAACTTTTTTGGATGTTCTGTCTTGCGTGCACTCAAGAATACCTCCACCCACTTGTCTTTTGCTTCACTAAGGGCTATAAATTGGCATATTGTGTGACAGATACTCTTTTAAAAAAAAAAGGCACAAAAAATATCCACCTGTGTTTCTCTTACACAGGAAGGAACAGAAATTTTTAAGTCATTGCTGGAGTGTTCTCCACCAGAGTCGCTTTGAATAAGAGAGGATTACAAAGAGAACAAAATAAACTGATGAGACATGCAAAGAGAATCCATGACAATAAAAAACACAATATGGTGGCCTCATGCAAGTATCATTCAGCTCTTCTTGAAATAAATGGACATGTGTGGTATTGAAGAGGGGCACACTGGACCTAAAGGACCAGACTGTAAGTAGACTGTCTAAATTAATTAAATATATATCTATGAATATTTAGTACTTAATAAAAAGAAAGCCACATTCCAAGTCATTTGATGTAAATAAGTCCCCATATATTCATAACCTCTAGAAATTTCCAGAAAACCAGGGAGGAATGCTTTTCAGATATTTAAGAACAGGTGCCCAAACTCAATTTTTCAAATCAGTCCGGATTCAGCTAAATACAAAGTTCATCAGTCAGCTGGATTCAACTAAGTTTCCAGACATTAATTTAAATTTAGTGGGAATGGAAGTGAGTGTGTTTCCAACAGGGCAAGACCTATCTTGTAAATCACTGCTCTGAAGGGAAGATAGTTTGGAACATCTCTGAGGAAGTGGAAACAGGTTTTGCTTTGCTACCCTGACAGATAGTTCCCTCCAGAGGAAGCAACAACCCACTTCACTGCAGGGCAACTGCTGCCAGACCAACATGCCAGTGAAGACCGAAGAAATCAGAAGTAGATGGACAGAACACTAAACCTGTGTTGGGGAGGAGGTGTTTTTTTTCCTTAACAAAAGCATGATATAGAGATATACTTGTAGAGAAACAAGTATTTGGTTGTTGGGGTTTTTTTCCACTTCTAAGTAGCATTCGGCCCACACCTTGTGTACTTCAAACTGATCAAATGCAGACTTCCAAACCTAGGTGTGGATTTCCTATGCTCCTCATTGCAGCAACTCTTACATCCTTTAAAGACACAGATTTATTTCACAGTATCTACTCAGGTAAGATGGTATGGAGAAAAAATACCAAGAAGCATCTCTGGTTTTCTGATTTGTGAGTGTACCACTACAGCCTAGATTTTGAGAGACACCAAGAACTTCTGAAATACTTAAGTGCCATCCAGAATCTAACAGAGGAACCAGCTACAAAACCCAGTGTTTAAGTGCATGAAGTGCACTAAGGAGATGCTGTTGCATTGCTGAAGACCAGGCAGAAAGAGAGTTTAGCACTAAGTTCACCGCTAAGTTTGGGTGCCCAGCTTGGAGAAGCTAAGGCCCACATACTTTGTGTGTGTGGTTAGTCAAACACTTCAGAGCAACGCAGCCTTTTGCCCAAAACGAAGTTTTGCAGCGCACCATACAGAATAATAGAAGCAGCATTACCCCGAAAAACAGCAGTCAGTGGCAAATGCTACATAACACATGATGAGAGATTTCTACTGACCATGCCAAGTACCATATTGCAGAGACCGAACCTGCTCCTGACCATTGCATCCATAACCACAAATCTTCCCGGGATCCTCCAGAGGGGGCACTTATGCCGTAACTCGGGAGGCAGATTGTTTGAAGACTCCCATGCTCAGCTTTAACTGCTAATCCCTCCTGCAGATTTCCAGTAGGCAGAAGGAGAGGCTGTGCTGGTTACAACCCGCGCACACAAAGCTCAACAGCCACGAGGGCAAATGTTCATGAAACACCAGTGAGACCTCCAGCTGCAACACTGAGAACTACAGCAGTGAGCTGCAAGTATTCGGTTCTTATTTAATGTTTGAAATATGTATCTTTCAATACAGAAATATGCATTTATATCTCTTTGGGTCTAAATTAGCGTCCTTTGTGTAAGAAAAGTAGGGGTTTTTTTGGTCTTATTTGCACCCATAAAGAGGAGACACAAGAGAGTAAAGCTTGTATTTATTT